TGCAGGCCCGAAGTGGCCACGTCTCGTATCACCTAGCCTCAGAAGTTCCACACCATCACTCGCACCCTATTAGATCAACCCTGACGCAGTATGGGAGGGAACTACACAAGGATCCTTGGGAACCATCTTGGAGGCAGACCACCATAGCCAGGCTGGAAATTGTTAAATGAAGTGTACCTAAATAGTTAAATAGTAAATGAAGAGAAGAGCCCTGTTTTTACTTCTTTTCCAGCAGCCACTATGTGGAGTTATTTGCATGATTGTTGGTAAATGCCATGGAGGTGGTTCTGACTCATAGTGACCCTATACATGGTCTCAAAGGAGTGGTTGGTGGATACGAACTGCCCACTTTGTGGCTAGCAGTCCAGTGTTTATCCTTCAGCACCACCCCAGGATTCCATTTACATAACTGCACCTTTTAATCTGAAATTAGTTTCTCTGTGTGGGCACTTTTCAACTATCCACACAACAAGGATCGACCTGAAACCACAGCGCCACACCATATGCCTAACTCTTTAAATCCAGTGATGGTGGAAATGATGATGAAACAGAATTTGGAGTTCTGGTGTGGCACTGAAGGATAAGCACTGGACTGATAACTTCAAGGTCGGCGATTCAAACCTACCAGTCGCTCCTTGGAAACCCTATACACTGTCATTGTGAGTCAAAACTGACTCAACAGCACTAAACAACAACATGAAGAATTTAGATCTATAAGGCAAGATACAGGCTTTGTGGGAAAAGTTAGACAAATGGAGCTAGCAGAGTCCGCACTTCTATTAGTAGGTGGATGTCAACAATCTCCTCAGTTACTGGTCTGGCTTATGTGGTGAGTGATCCCATAGCCTCTGATCTATTTCCCCTTTACTCCCAGTATTTAGACAAGGGTCAGGTAGTTCTCAAAGTAACATATGACTTATACATTTGCTATCCTTTCCTTCTTCCTCACTTCAAGAGATCTTGTTGGCTCTTGTCTTTCTTACTTGTCCCACACAGTTCCTTGGGTCCCCGGTAATCTCCTTTAAGCCTTTAGGTCTATAACTGCTTCTCGGCCGGCTCTAGCTCTTTAGCCCTTCTGGTGGGGATAGGATGGACCATTCAACTATGTGATTCCTTGCTATCAGACAGCTGGTAACAATTGGGAGGTCATTCACTATGGCTTCTAAATGTCTCTACATGTTCTTGCTCGGCATGCCAAGAATGCAAGGGCCTGATCACTATTTACCTAGGCCATTTCTGTGAGCAACCTTGTTGTTAAGTACCGTCGAGTTGACTCCGACCCATAGCGACCCTGTACAGGGTTTCCAAGGCTGTAAATCTTGATGGGAGTAGAAAGCCTCATCTTTCTCCAGCGAAGCGGCTGATAGTTTCAAACTGCTGACCTTAAGGTTTGCAGCCCAATTCGTAACCACTACGCTACCAAAGCTCCTTAGGTTTGCTTTAATGGCAGGTTTCCCAAGCTCAATGTTCCTCTTCTGTAGCAAACCCCATCCACCAGGGCCCTTTGCTGTTGCACTTGTGGGACCCTTGGCACATGTGAACTGACAACCACGCTGCACTGGAGTAAAGTCCTTTGTCTCTAAAACCCCCCTTTATTGTCAGTTAAAATGTGTTCGCAACAGCACCATTTGTCAAATTCAAAGATGCTCTCAAGGTTGCTCCCTACTGTGTTACTTTATTTTAGGAAGAATTGTGTAATAAGAACTCTTGTAAGGCAAAATCTCTATTCATTCCTAAGGCCTCTGCTCGCTCTTACTGGTTGTATAGTGCTCTCTCTATTCTAAAAGTCACCAACAGACATGGACCTGGCCTTCATAAACTCCTGTCAGCACCCATGAGACAGTTGTTCAGTGCCGTCAAGTTGGTTCCGACTCATGGCAATCCCGTATAGGATTTCCAAACTGTAAATCTTTGCGGGACCAGAAAGCTTCATCTTTCTCCTGCAGAGCGGCTGGTGGGCTCAAACAGTCAACCTTGTGATTGCCAGTCCAGTGCTTTACTACAGAGCCACTGAACTCCCTAGTCACCGTGCTCCCTTTTGCTTATAATTATGGTAAAATCAAATCTCAAATCTACCACCACTATGCCTGACATTGTGATATATCCAAATTACCTGTTTTTAATTTTAAGTAGTATTGTCTGGCAACTTTTATGGGTATCGTCTACTTTGTCTTCAGAAAGGATAGGAAAAATATGAGGCACCCTACAGAGGCAGGAGTTAGCAAATTACAGCCTGCCTGTGTTTGTATTTAAAATTTTATTAGACCACAGCCTCTTGTTTATGTACTGTTGATGGATACTTCTGCAACACAGCAGCAGATCTGCGCGACAGAAACCATATTTAAGAAAGTTGGCCAAACCATGTACACAGTCACTCCTCATTAGAGTGATGGATCACATGGGTGGGTACAGAAGACAAAGCATCTTGGAAGGTGAACTTAGCCCATTTTAAAGCCAACTGCTTCTCCAGAGCTGCTGAATGAATAAACATTTACCACAAAGGACTTTCTACATAGAGCGTCATTCAGGCTTACTGGCTTGTAGGAACCACGTGTGTAGGAGGTAGGCAGGAAGAGACTAAAGACTCCAACGGGAAAGAAGTCCCATCCTCAGTACTAAGGGAGTGATTGAACTATTATAGCAACATCAAGAAAAAAAGCATCTTATCAAAAAGAAAGGACACATTCCAACTAGACACAGAAATAAATTTTAATTCATTGAAAAGTGCAGCAGTGAACAGGGTCCTTCGAAGGGCACTTTCTAGGGCAAGTGGCTGAGATGACACCGAGCCAGGGCAGACTAACTTCTAAGAACAAATGATGCAAACAAAGGAATTTACAACATTTATGGGGCCTGGGTGGTAAAGAAATCAGAGAACCCAGATGTACTCCATTTTCCTTCCACTGATGGGTCAGCTGAGATAAGCTTTTGCTTTCTCTGAATAAGGATCCTGGGACAACTTTTCTTCCTTTGTGAAAGAAGTATTAATCCTAATTCAGACACTTAAGATAAACTGAAGACCATTTCTCACAGATGAAGGTATAACTTCCATGGCTGTGTTCTATTTTGTATAAACCCCGCCTTTGTTGTCAGTTAAAATGTGTTCACAACAGCATCATTTGTCAAATTCAAAGATGCTCTCAAGATTGCTCCCTACTGTGCTATTTTATTTTAGGAAGAATTGTGTAATAAGAACTCTTGTAAGGCAAAATCGCTATTCCTTCCTAAGGCCTCTGCTCATTCTTACTGGTTGTATAGCTCTCTCTAAAGGTCACCAACAGACATGGACCTGGCCTTCATAAAAGGGGAAATCATTAAGCTCCAAGTCAGTACAATTAAAAGGGAAATAAGGAAAGCCTCTTGCAGTGGGTCACTTGTCTGTAAGCGTTCCAAAAGCTGACTGCATCTTGTAGTCTATTAGGCTATACACCGAGGTCTCTTGATGAGACTATTTTAGTATAAATCCAGAATGATGCCAACCCCAGAGAAAGAGTCAGATAGGAGCCTATTTATTTAAAGGTTAGTTAGGAAATGTACCCAAAACTGGAAGAGGTCCACAGAGGGTGCCTCATCACATTCCTCCACCCACACAGAAATCAGCTGACTGTAAGAGCTGAATGGCAAAGACACTATTGGACGCTGACTTGTTTCATTCTTACACTGAATAATGTGATGTCACAGTCCAAGACCTGGTAAGAGTTAGTTTTCTTTTATTTGGAAATAACTTATTGTCAACCTTCATTAAGGTTGATGCTGATTTATAATGTTAGGAATCAAAGTAGAGAATAATGCCAAAACCCATATTCAACAATGTACTTCACTTTTAGTTACAGAATTTCTGGAATTTCTTTGCCTAAAACAGTCACAGAAAAGGTGTTCATTTTGTTTGCTTACTTCACCTTTTAGCTTTGCCCCCCACTCCCACCCCACCCCCCAGTTGCTGGGCTCACATGAGGTAAAGATATAAACCAAATGGCTATCTGAAATTATGGTAGCATAGTTAACTTAGAAGCAAGTGCTTAAAGCTCAATATAAGACCTTCAGTAAAGCTAAAATCACTTATTGCCTGAGTCAAGCAGGTTATAAACCTTTTCTTCATCACCTGCTGCCCTCCAACCATAACCTTCTGTTGAAGAAAACAGTAAAAATGGGATTGGTCTTTGAGCCAATAGAAATGATTTTAGGTGTCCTAAACAGTGAGGAAACCTAAACAAATCTGGTTTTGACACAGGAATACTAAATGGGGACTGAAGACTCCAAAAACTCAAGGACAGCTTAATTGAAAGGGGAGAAGATGGGGGTTCTCAGACTCAATAGTTATTGTTATCTTCCATGAACAACAAAACATTTTTACATCTTATAAGAAAGTTAACAGGATGACAAGATGCATAGAGAGTCAAAACAACGTCACATATGGGGTTGAAACCCAGCTGCCAGGCAATGAATCCATCCCAAGTGCAGCTCTTTAACCTGTAAAACTGAGAGTCTCGAGCAGCCCCTTAGAAAACACAACCTTCCTCCCTGTAATGATGTACTTCAGTTGCCTTTTTTTCAGATCTCAAAGGGAAAATATCAAGGGAAGAGACTGCTTTCCATATTCCTGGTGTTAACTGGCATTCTCTGTACTTAGCAGCCACTGGAAAGTAAGCTACCTCAAGAGCTACCCGGAACGAACCTTTACCAGAAACCTACTCTCCTATTTCATTATAAAACCAGCCCGGAATACCAAGAAAATGAACAGAACTTGGTTGGTATGTTTTGAAGGTGCAACCGCATCACATTATGATGAAGAAGCAGGCAGGAAATGTACCAATATATTCTACTAATCTAAAAACAATGCTACTTGCTCTTAATCATCTCTGATATTTTTCAAAACATATTTGTATTTTTTATGGTGAAGGGCTCTATCTGAAATTCTCTGCAGGTCTTTTGCTTCTGAGTCAAGCTGTATACCAAAAAGAGTTTTCTTGCCTTAGAGTATTGCCATTTATCTGAGTTGATTTGCAAATTCAGACTTTGAAACACAGGGCAGAATCAAGAATGGTGGCCCCATGACAGAAAAGGTATGCTGAGAACAAAGACCTTGGGAGTGTTCATAACAGCAGGATGGAGGGACCAGGGAAAGCCACTCCCAACATACGGGCAGAGTTCACAGTTTAACACATTGTACAAGGAAGTCAGCTGATTGAGCTGCCTTTTCAAATAGGACTTAAAACAAAGCCAGAAACTCTTCCAGGCGTGGTCTTGAAGACTAGCTACAGACACCTACTACAATCACTTCATCAGAGAGGCGTGCAGGGATCCGACTGCAGAGGCTGGGCCACGTCATTACAGAATATGTTTGGAAAACCTTCGCGTCCTGACACTGCCATGGTTGCTGAACATGAGACGAGGGTCAAATCTATACCTGGAGGGAAAAAATCCAACATGTCACAGTCACATTAACTCTAGCTAGCCACTGAGTCTGTCATTCAGAATATTACTCTGTGGAAAGGAGGGCTGAAAGGGCTGTAAAAAGACCAATTAAATCACCAGAAGAGATTCTACTGGGAGCATACGCAGTGTAAAACACGAGTATTAAATAATTAAGGACATTTCTAATACAAGTCAGTAGGCACAAAATACTGGAGTATTAAGCAGAAAGAAAAGGAGAAATGAAACAAGTAACATTAATCCTGGCAGGGTGTAGCAGGAGGCAGGTTTTGAGCTGGTTTTTTGGGAGATGGGGAACTAATTGTATAAAAGGTGACTAGAAGAGTCTGTGGCAGTTGTTAAGTTCTGTGGAGTTGGTTCTGACTCATAGTGACCCAATATAGGGTTCCCAAGGAGCAGTAAGTGGGTTTTGAGCTGCTGACCTTGTGTTTTGTAGTCCAGTGCTGATTCTACAGTGCCACATTGGTGTCTGGTGGTATGCTGTGGTGTCGGTTCCAACCCATAGTGACCCTGTATAGGGTTTCTGAAGCTGTAAATCTTTATAGGAGCAGAAAACCTCATCTTTCTTCCACGGAACAGCTGGTAGTGCTGAACTGCTGACCAATTCGTAACCACTACGCTGCCCTATTGGCAGTTTCAAAGTCCTTTTTTCTTTTACAAGTAGACACTCAGATTGTGGCATTCAGGAGTACTGGTATAGACCTCAAACATGGGTATGACTTTGGACAAGTCATTAACCTCTCAGGCTACAAATGAAAGAGTGAGTGAATTCATGAAAGTGCTTGACACATAAAATACTACTTTTACCAACCGAGGGGAAGTTAGCGTGAGTGTTACATGGTAATTGGATTTGGGACTTACAAAAAGAACACAGATTGGCTAGAAAGGAACTCTTAATGCACAGGTTAGAGTCAATATCTTATGGGACAAACAAATTCTTAGTATTGTAAACGAATTCTAGTATTTTTCTGTAAATGGCCCGAGAAGAAATAGGGCTTTTTCTGTAAACGGCCAGATAAGAAATGGGCTTTGTGGGTCATACAGCTTCTGTTATGGCTACTCAACTTTATTGATGAAGCACAAAAGAAGCCACAAACAATATGTAAATGTGTATAGGGCTACGTTTCAATAAAACTTTATTGAAAATACAAATGGTGGGTGGATTTGGCTCACTCTGTTTCACGGGATTCTAAAATAGGCCTAAATGTTTGGTAGGAAATGAATAAGCCAGTAGCGTAGTGGTTATGAATCGGGCTGCAAACTGCAAGGTCAGCAGTTCAAAACTACCAGCTGTTCTGCGGGAGAAAGATGAAGCTTTCTGCTCCCATAAAGATTTACAGCCTCGGAAACCCTGTACAGGGTCGCTATGAGTCGGAACCGACTCCATGGCAAATCACAACAACAACAGCAATGGGGTTTAAATAGTTAAAGGTTTACACTAGCAAAGGCAGCAACTATAAGCTATGAGACTGTAGGTAATTAGCTATAGTTAAAAAAAAAACACAAAATAAAGTAACAAAAAACTCCAGAAAAACCAATAAAACCTTGTCAGGTTACTTGGCTGTGCTAGTTCCTAACAAAGTGACTTTTGGGCAAAATCACAACTCCAGGCTCAATTTCCTCATTTCAAATATAACTGTTTGTACTCTAAGGGGTACAGGGAAATCACGTGCTCAAGTCATTCTAGCACTTAGGGCCAGACATTCAGAAGCAACATGGCAGCTGCTGCATGTGCCCTGTGCTGGCCACGCGGATGCCAGGCATGGCACGCTCACGTTCTAACGATGGAGTGGTCAGGAACTGTTAGTAGTACCTATCAAAGATAGCCGGGTCTCTTGATCCTCCAGTCAAGCTTTTGTCAGATGTTGGCTTTCGATTCTAAGAAGCAGTCAGACAGTAAACAATTAAAAAGCATTGGCCGGCATAGATATCCGACTCTGGTTTGATAAAAAATCCTAAGCAAAGTAGTTGTTGAAAATTGTGATATGGGAACATGTGAACTCTAGAAGTCATGCGTGCCTTTGCCTTAAGAGACTGAACTTTCTATTTCATGCAACTGGCACTGAGCTAGGGATCCATCTCGCTAACATGGAGGAGAGACCACCTTATTGAACACTAACACGATGGTCCATATTTTAAAAAAGTTGTTTGAAGTGTTATGATAGAATGACAAACATTGTCTTTTTATACTGTTACCTAGTTTAAATTTACTGGGACTCGTGTCTCTGGCTCAATATACAAGGTTTACATGTAAAAATTATTACTTTTTAAATACAGATGTAGAGCAGGGGTTGGCAAACTTTATCTGTAAACGTTCAGATTAGAAATAGTTGGGGCTTTATAGGCCATACAGCTTCTGTTACAACTACTCAACTTTGTTGTTGAAGCACAAAAGAAGCCACAGACAATATGCAAATGCGTGTGTGGCTATGCGTCAATAAAACTTTATTTAAAATACAAACATTTCAAATTTCTCCATTATTCCACATACACATCCCTCCCCTCTCCTTTTTTTTGGATGGAAGATGTTGTCTAACCTAAAGATACCAAATCAGCTACAACTTTCCATCACTTTGTGACCTTCTTCCCTTCCTCCTATAATCAGATAAGTTTTAAGAATTAAAGCAATCCCTTCCCAGTGAAAGTATAATTTTTAATCTGATAATCTTCAAGTAAAAATAAATGCCGTGCCACTTGCCACAGGCAGCTTCAGTGCTTGGTGTACTGACACACCCAGAGCACAACTGCTGAAAAGCCACACTGTGTAGATGAGAGTTATGTGTCCTCCACCCCCACAGATGGCAGTGGTTTACATACCTCCACATTTCAGTGCTCACAATTTCATTTTCACTGTGTGTATCCAGTGTATTACGTTTACTGGCAGGCATTTATGTTTCTATAATAGAATTCTCTATAGACAAAATAAAGGTATTGGCTCACAGAAGCCCTAGGGAATAATGCAGCAGTGGGGCACAGCTGATACTCAAGAAGCCCCAGGTGTCACTCGTGCTACCAAATGGCCCCATAAGAAAGCAGCAGGGAAAAGGAAGAACCACCTCCCACCCCAGGAGGGTGGCAACTCATAGCAACCCTGTGTAGTTTCCAAGGAGTAACTTATAGGCTTGAACTTCAGTACTTATCCTATAGCACCACACCAGGACAACAAGCTTCAAAAAGGTTACAATCCCAGCACAAAAGACCAATACAAGACAGAGTATTCCCATTTAAAAGCAAACTGAAAAGGGGACCCTGAAAAGGTTTCAGTGTAGCCTAAAGTAACATAAAACCCTAATGTTGTTGTTAAGTGCCTGCCGTGGAATCAATTCCAACCCACAGCGACCCTGTATAGGGTTTCCAAGGAGCAGCTGGTAGCCATCTTTAATCAACGACTACAGTTAACATTAACTCCCTCCCTAGCTACATTCCACAATTAATCACTTCTTTTCAATCTCCAAAGTGGTTCAATTCTCTTCCCAGAACAAAAACAAAAATCAGCAAACAAGAAAATTGCCATTCTAGCAAGATGGCAGACTAGGCCGACACACTACGTGGACCCTCTACAACAAAGATTGTTCTTAAGTGCCATTCACTGAGTTGGTCCTGACTCAGCGACCCAGTAAAGGGTTTCCAGAAACAGTTGGTGAGTTTGAACTGAAGACCTTGTGGTTCAAACTGACCTTGCAGTCCAGTGCTTTATCTTACAGTGCCACGACAGATTAAATGAAACACAGATGAAAATCTAGAACCCTGAATTTTGGAGGAAAGGTTAGAGAAGTGGACTGAGTGCTTGATGGGAGGAAAAACTGAGCAAGGACAGTGAAACAGAGACTGGTAAACAGCTGGCCAAACTCGGCTTGACCATCTTTAAACTTTTGTGAGCATCTTTGGCGACAGAAGGTGGCCTGGCAGAGCAGATTCACACAGACAATGGGAAAACTGTGATGCCTTTTTTTTCCCATGCTCCCCTGGTGACCTGATGTGTGGTCAGCTCCCACCCTCATTCACCTGAAGCTCAGAGTCTGCTCTCCAGGAGTTCAGAGCCACGCCAGTGTGAGGCAGAGGTCAGCTGTGCTGCTTTACAGCCTGGATAGGTGGGCTCACCTCCAGACTGAAAGGACCCACAGAGCCACCACACCAGCATCGGTGTAGCAGAAACCCTCATAACCAACCACCCTGTCTCCAGCTTTCCTGTGGTCCTTGAAGACATTACAACCAGCTCCATCAAGGGCCTCTACCAAGGTGTAGTGTGCCCTAGACAGACATACCTGGAGCTATAGGAACAACATCTAGGGCCAGGAACTGTTGTCACATCCCTACTGTAACCACCTAAAGAGCTCTTGACTGGAAGGAGCCCCCCAGAGCTATCTCTCTGGGTCCAACAGCTGCATTGTTTTCTGTTTTTGTTTGTTTATTTTTTCATCTCTTTCCTCGTGAATTTTATCTTATCTGCTTTTGCTTTTCCTTCTTTTCTCATTTCTCCTTTTATTGTTTCCTTTTGAGCTTTCTTTACCACTCTCTACTCTTATCATCGTCCCTATCCCTAATTTTTAAGACCACTTTAAAAAGTTCCTGTGCAGCAGATTTGCCTAATGCAATACATCATTTGATTTCTTGACTGCTGCTTCCACAAGTGTTGATAGTTGATTCAAGAAGAATGAAGTCCTTGACAACTTCAATCTTTTCTCCATTGATAAGAATGTTGTTTATTGGTCAAGTGGTGAGGATT